TCAGTCTTCTTTGTTTAGCAGAGTCAGCAAGACGTTACAGGTACACACTTCCAATTGTAACAGAAGAGAATATAATAAAGGTTGAAAAGGGAAGGTAATTAATTAATTAATCAATCAATTATAAAAAAAATACCCATTAATTTGTCTTTTTTTAAATAAATATATTGGGAAGGCATCCTTTACAAGAACTTTGTGTTGAAGTATTCGTAGCAAACGATACATTTATTGAGGGCGGTCACGGGACTTTAATTGATGACGACTATCAAGATACAACGATGACGAATATGAATACGAATGGTCTATATGAATCTTCTAAATCTAATAATAATAGTGTTATATTACTTAGCGGTGCAAATTTTTCTGGTAAAAGTGTTTATTTAAAACAAGTTGCTTTAATCACTTATATGGCTCATATTGGAAGGTAATTTAAATATTTACGTGTATATAAATTCTAACACTAAAAATTAATAACAAATTGCTTTATAAGTTTCGTGCCGGCAGAATCTGCTATAATTGGATTAACGGATAAAATTTTTACTAGAATACAAACTCGAGAAACAATATCAAAGGTAAATTAAATAAAATAGAATTTTTTTAATACCTAACCTAAAAATTTTTTTTTTTAAAGATTCAAAGCGCTTTTATGATTGATCTTCAACAAGTTTCATTTGCTCTTCGAAATTCAACTTCAAAATCATTATTAATAATCGACGAATTTGGAAAAGGAACTGGTTCCACCGGTATAAATTTGTGTAAAAAAGAATATATTAATTTTACAAAGTTGTATATAAATACAAGTATAATAAATAAATAATATATATAGTATTACTTCTTTATGATAATTATTCCAATTCAATTAGAATAAGAAATATCGTTGTTTTTTTTACCTTTCATTCTGTCGTTTTTGTAATATACAGTTGTAGAAGTATTAAACTAAAACCACAATACAATAATATTCAGTATAAGATTTTAAAATTATTTCAAATATATTGAATTAACTACTTGAAAATATAATCCATCAAATTCAAAATCCTTTTCATCTTTCCATTCTAGTTTTAACGGGATAGCAATCAAATATCCGAGTTGAGGATAATAGATCACATTTAATGAAGTAGTAATTTCGTTGGGAATTGTTGTGCTTATTTCATTGGCGACTTCAGACTAATTTATTTATTATTTATTTATTAATGCTTTTTTTTAAACGTGTACTAATTTTTAAGAAAATTTTAATACCAAGAAATCGTCTAGTCCATCATAAACTCGTTTCATTTCATCCAAATCCTTTTAATTTTTTATTTTTTCAGGGAGTAAAAAAAATTAAATGAATTGAATAGTAAATACGTAAAAATAAAAGAATTTTACCTCGTCAATGTAAGGCTTTATCATAATTCGATTTTCTTTGACACTTCCATCAAAATCAATCTTTAATAATAAAAGTGAAATAAATAAATAACGATATGATATATATAAACGAATCGTTGCCAACGCCAATATCTAACCGTATCATTGATAAGAGATCCGAAAGTTTTGAAATATGTTATGGAAAATGTTTCTTCAATCTATTTTATTTTATAAAAGATAAAGAATGATTTAATTTTTCTATGACAGAGTTACTATAACCAATCACGGATAATGATAATACAATACTGACCCTTTTAAAAATTTGTAATGGTTCTTCGTAATGAAATTCTTTTATTAAGTTACGGATTTTCAAACAATAAAAAGCAAACTATAAAAATATACATATATATATTACACGTTTATATATCTCTTTAAGCATAAGCACATGTTCTCTAAAAATTGAAAAAACAATTAGTAAAAACCTGTAATAAAGATTGCCAATCTTTAACACTTAATTTTCCTTTAATATTTTGAACTATTCTTTCAATGTTTTTAATATGTTTGAGACACTTTGTCAACAAAGACGAAGCTTTCAAATTATCTGGTTTTATAAAACATTCAATTGTATGTTGTCTCTCGTGGATAATTGATATATCGAGTGTAGGACGAAGAAACCATTGTTTTAAAAGACGTTTACCAAGCGTAGTACGAGTACAATTCATTATTCCTGTTATTTATTAAAATCAAAAACTTTTTATGAGAGATATAAAAAAAATAACAATAAAAAATAGGAATGATAGCATTTTACCAAATAACGATAACCCTTCCTTTGTATGTGATCGCATATGCATATTTGGATGTGCTTCATCTTCGAAAATCTGAAGAGAACTTTCAAGGATTATTAAATTCATTAAATCGAAA